CCACATAAGCAAAAAGAAAAAAGCCGGAAGTGGCGCTGTGGCTCAAGTGGTAGAGTGCTAGCCTTGAGCTGAAGAGCTGAGGGACAGCGCCCAAGGCCCAGAGTTCAGGCCCCATGACTGGACCCCCCCCCCAAAAAAAAAGACTCGCTTATGCAGAACAGTCTTTGCTCTGCAGCTGGCCATTAAGGCCTGCAGGACTTGTTTATCTCATAATCGAGCCACAGCAGATGGCACGTGCCTTCTCCAGCTCATCCACATCTAGTCTCCAGGGATCTGCACAGTCAGTGCTCTCTTCTTGAAACACCTCTCAGCTCTTTGATGCTCATCTAAGAGCTTTCATATGCAGGTGCCATGAGATGGGTTCTAAAACTTAAGCAAATTGCACTGGCCTCAGTGTTCTTCCAGTGTTTTATCCAACAAATCTGGAATGCGATCTGCATATTTTATTTTTTGGTACTTGAACAGGTACAGGAGCTTGAACTCATGGCTTTGTGCTCTCAGCATCCTTGTTCATGGCTAGTTATCTACTAATTGAACCATACCTCCAATCTTGTGTTTTGCTGGCTAATTGGAGATAATAGTCTTTGGACTTTTCTGCCAAGGCTGGCTTTGAACTATGATCCTCCAAATGTCAGCCTCCTGAATAATCAGGATGATAGGCATGAGCCACGGGCAGAATCTGCATTTCTGGTTGTGGGCCGCACCTTGACAACTGCTGCCTTAGATCCTGATTGCTAAGCCCATAGCCTTAGCACTGACTGGAGCTGGTTAGAAAGGAAGAATCCTGAGTCCTACCCCAGACCTTCTGTCAGAACTTCTGGGCACAGTGAGATCTGAGAGTCACTTGTGAAGATCATTTATCACAAGCCTTGGAAGCAAGACTAGGGTCAGTACCCAAGAGAGAGTCCACACATCCAGGCAACCAATGAGTGTTTACTGAAAGAATGAGCGAATGTTCTTGTGGACTTGTAAGTGAGCTCCTGGGGCAGGAAGGTTATCTTATTTAAACTTGTCATTGATGAGAAGCAATCACACCACACATTCTCTATATGCGCCCATGGTCTGCAGCTGGGCTTCCACTAAAATCACCTAAAAAGCCCTCAAAAGCCCTGGGCCTGGATACAAGGCCCAGATTTTCTAATTCGCTTAGCCTGGGGTATAGACTGGACACCCAAGGTGGGGATTAACTGCTCACCTGGTTAAGCTTGTAATCCCAGGTACTCTGGAGGTAAAGCTCAGGAAGACCATGGTTCTGGGCAAAAAGTACGGCTCTATTTCTACAAATAGGCTGGGTACAGTAGTCATACCTGTGATCCCCGCAATGGGGGGGGGGGGCACAAGTAGGAGGAAGAGCTTGTTCTGAGGCCAGACCTAGGCTAAAAGTAGAACTCTATCTGAAAAAAATAAATAAAGCAATAAAGGCGGGAGGCACAGCTCACGTGGAAGTACAAGCGCCTACCAAATGTAAGGCCCTGAATTCAAATCTAAATATTGCCCTTTCCCAATTAACAAGTTTAGTTC